GGGCGACACATTCAGCCGGCATCGTGCGTAAAAAAATAGGACGCGAGAGCCAAAAAAAAAGACTCCCCCCCAAAAAAGGACCGAAATAAAACTCCACCCTTTATATAGAGTCTTTCCACAGTTGCCCCCCGGTGGGGCTCCCCGACCAGCGCTGTTTTTCGGATCGAGGATCCAGGCGCACTTGCGGCAAACTATTGATGTCCGAGTCCCGCATGCTCTCTTACCGTTTTTCCGGGGTGCCAACCGGGGCACTGCTGCTGCCAAGATCTGCACCGCCATCAGCAATTGTTACTGTTTACACTCGTGTTGCTAACAGTGTTTCCTGCATCGCTGCTTGCAGGGTTCAGGGCTTCTGTTCCTGTTGGGTTGTTGTGTCGTGAATCTCGAAGGCTGGACCCCCCTTCCATCCAAGACCGGTCCGAGTTCTGCTAATCTGCACATGCGTCTTGGAGTAGGGTTGTAACGAGCTCAAGGCGGCTCTGGGAAAACACAGGTATCTGTTAAAACAAGCTCCGCATACAACATGCAGAAGCCAGGCCTTAAGAGAACGTGACACTAGGGCTTGTTTGCTTGCAACTTGCGGATTCAGACTGCTCTTGTGCCGATGACAAATTGCGTGACAACGATGTCTGTCGCTGGGCCATCTTGCAGATCAGTGAGTCATGCTCGCTAGTCCTAGCCCAGCAGCATGAGAAACCAATCTGTAGGGAGTGACATGATCCCTGCGACATCGAGGAACTTGCCAGTCCTTCGTCATTTAGCTATGTTTGCATGAAGGCTAGTCTTGGGGTGGTATCTCAAGCACGGTCGAGTCAGCCCCCAGTTACGCTATCTTGGCCATGAAAGGGGCATCTAAAGGACATCAACATTTGTGGTGCTTTGTTCGCCTGGGCAGACTCGCCTTCAGGACATGGTCCACAGCCTGTCCAGCAAAGGAGGCTTGTCAGTGCCCTTGAAGTGCTTGCTGCTTGGTTGCCGTGCCTACATGCCTGCATCATGAGACATCACGAGGTACAAAACGTGTGCATGGACAAGTACTGGATTGGTGCGTGACTCAGCTTTCTTGTATGTACATCTTTTAACAGAAGCTGTCGATAGCTTTCGTCTACTCTGAGTGCACAAATCCTCGAACTGTCCGCTCCGTTTCGCAGGCATGGCAACTTTGGTTGGATCCAGGCCTGTGCCCCCGCTATGCCAGAAGCAATCTGCTCTCGCATCGCTTGCATGTGTCCGTGCATTTGGCAAAAGCTTTTTGGGGTCTGCCTCCAGGCTCTGCAGCCCGTGGAGCATCCCGAGGCTCACAGGCAAGGCAATCGGAGAGAAGCAATGCGAAGCTAAGAGGGGAGCAAGAGTGGGGTGCATAACAAGTTCTCCAGGCCTTGCACCATCTCACTCGCTCGAATTGGTTGAGTCCATGACAGCAGTCGCAGCACGAGCACAAACCCTGATGAGGAATCAAGGCCGTATCTACATGGCCGGCGAGGCGCGAGGAATTGGAGCTGTCCCGGATGACAAAACATAGCCGCATTCCACCGCAAGTTTGCAGAGCTCTGGCGGCCAGGATGTACAGGAAGACCTCTCCGGCGTCGGCGCGGATGTCACTTTCTTCCTGCGCCTTCGGCCCATGGCCACCACTATTCACCCGATTTTTGCTGTTCTGCAACCACAAGTGGTCATTGACTAGAACAGGGATCTTGAGCAGTGCCTTGATCAGGTACCAGGATGCTAATGGTCTGGGCGCTATGAATGTGAGTGACTCGAGGGAGCCGTGTCATAGGCGCGGGGCCGATGAATCGACACGTACGTGAGGTGCGACCAGCGCCGGATGCGTCCAGGCTAACTGCGCCTCCGACCCACAAGGCCAGCCTGCGCTTCAGATTGTGGCTTCAACTAAGTTCTGTAGTGATGTACCGACCTGGTGACACTTCGATCTGACAGGGCGGATATGGACGTGCGACCGGTGGAGCAGGCCCACTCTGCGATTACCTCGAAACACCAACTTGGGGTCTGAGGCATGAAGGCTGGGCGGCAGATTTTCTGTCTAAGATCTCAGGATGCCGATTCGGTTCGATGCGATGCCAGGATTCACTGTCATAGATGTGGTACATAGAGAAACATCGAACTCTTGGCCGATCTTCTGGGCCCAGGGAGTTTCCAGGACTGGCGTTGGCTATCTTGGGGGGCGGGTCCCCAAAAAACGACAGCCCCCGAAGAGCACCCTCCCGCCAGCCGCCCGCATGCCACTTCAGCTCTTTCGTCTTCTCTTCGTTATTTCCCCTCCGTCTACCTGATGCCTCCAACCATGCTTCTATGCGGCTGGTTGCTTTCGCACCTTCGACATGGCGCTCTCGTGTTGTCGTTGTTGCCGTCAGTGCCAGTGCTTCCTGCATCCGCTGCCGGAGTGGTTTGGGCTGCTCTATATCTGGCCCTTACGCACCTGTTGCATGGCCGTTCTCCTCTTACGGATTGTTGTCCCCGAAGTGTGGTTGACATCCTACCCGTATATTATATATATATATATATCTTCTGCTCTGCATGATGGCGGCATGGTTTACGACATGTTTTTTACCTTTCCTTGCGTGTGCTATCAGCCCAGGCCTTCCTGCTTTGTCCTCGGCGTCACTTTGAGCTGTCTTTCCTTCGGGCCGCGCCCCTGTGCGCTATTGGCTGTTCTCGGCATGGCCTTTGCCCGTTTCTCCTACCTCTCGCTGCTTCTTCGGGCCGCGCCTCTGTGCGCTATTGGCCTGTCGTGCTGCCTTCCTGCTGTGCCTTCGGCATGGCCTCTGGCCGTACATATCTACTCCTTTTCGGGTCCGCGCCTTCATGCGAAATTGGCCAGTCCTGCTGCCTTCCTGTTTTGTTCTTGGCGAGGCCTCTAGCCTTTCTCATATCTCTTGCTCCTTATACTCGGCCCGCGCCTCTTTGCGCTATTGTTCCTGCTTTGTCATCCGTCCGCGATCCTGCTTTGTTCTCAGCGTGGCCTTTGGCCGTTCCTCTGACTCTAACATCTCGCTGTTTATTTGACCCGAGCCTCCGTGCGCTATTGGCCAGTCCTCGGAGTGGTCTCCGGCCGCTTCTCTTATCTTTTGCTCCCTCTTTCGGGCACTGCCTCTGTGCGCTATGGGCCTGTCGTGCTGCGTTCTTGCTTTGTCCTCCGTGGCCTTTGGCAACTTCTCTCCTTTCGGGCAGCGCCGTTGGGCGCTCCTTGGCTGGTTTTGCCGCGTTCCTGCTTTGTTGTCGGTCGGCTTGGTGTCAGGCCATACATCTTCTCTTTCTTCGTTCCGCGTCTCTATGCCCGATTGACTTGTCATGCTGCGCCTCAGCTTTGCTTTGTGCTCTCTGCCTTCTGCCCTTTCCCAGTCTGGTTCTCCTTCAAATCCGATTGCATGCATCGGTGGTTCTATCAATATTACCGACATTTATGGGAGAAAGTGGATTAGGAAAGTGTGCAGCAGCACCGACATGTATCCACAGCTTCTGTTTTCTAGTGCTTCGTTCGCACCTCATCAAAGAAAAAGTGTTGTATGTGTAGCGAAGCCCTGAATCTAGGATACATTACTGTTTGGTAAGACGTTGAGCGAAGAATGGGCCTGAGGCTCTTTAGCGGGGATGCCCGAGAATAGCCCTCCATTGATTTCTTTGACAGCAGCTACGATCGGCCAAGATGGTGGTTGTGGTTGGAGGTACACAGCAGTAGCTGTGCCCGCCCGCACTCTTCCCCGCCCACATCTCAGAGCGACTCCGCAAAAGTCACAGCCCTCCGTGAAGGGTTCAAACGGGGGTGTCTAGAAAGAGAGAGCAGAGAGAGGAAAGAGGGGAGAAAGGGGAGAAGAGAGGGGAGAGAGGGGCGGGAAGAGAGGAGGGAAGAGAGAGAGACCAGAGATAAGAGAGGGATGGAGAGAGCCAGAGAGGGGGGAAAGGGGAGCGCGGAAAGAAGGATGAAAGAGGGGAGAGGGAAGAGGCAGAAGGGCCAGGAGAGAGAGTGGAAAAAGAGCGCAAACGGAGGGAGAGGCAGGTCTGTGCGGAGAGAAGAGGCCAGAACTCATAACATGCGTGGCAGGCCGACTTCAGTGGAATACCTCGGCAAATCAACCCAAGGTGCTGCTGAAGTCTCGTGCATCAAGGGCAAAGATGTCAATGATGCAAAGGCTAAAACACCGCGGTTAACTCCGAAAGGATACGGTGGTGGCTATGCGCCGTGTGCTCGGTAGCCTCAGTTGAGCTCGGCCGATTGGGAGTCTCCAAGGCCGGTCACCCGCGGAACAGTAGAACCTCATGACAAAGTGCTCCGCGCCCAGTCGACATGTGCCGCCATGTCAGATGTGCCAGAATGAGCAAGCGATCTGAAGTGCGACAGGTTGGAGCGCGTCCACACTGCTTTACACAAATCAGTCAACAAGGCCAGAGAGTTTCGGGCTGCAAATCCTTAGGTCCCAGAGTTCTTTATGGCTGAGCATTACCTTCCCGAACCTTCCCCACCTGGTCCTCAAGTTGACAAGCACTTCAGCTAGTTACCCAGATCGCAGTGGTGGTCGTTCAGTCATACAACCCTGTTTGACTGTGTGCCGGAGTCTTCAGGGGCGATGTTTCAGTCAACCGGGACTGCGGTAGACTAGGGAACGCAAAGAACCAAGTCTTCAGGCATGCTTTTGCGTTGCCTGTTTGAAGCGCATCCTGTCGACAATGCCCCTATCGGGAGCAAGAGTGCTCTGTTCTGCCGGGGGGAAGGCGACCAAGAAGATCGCTGACCAAGAAAAAGACTGGGATCAAGTCGAGCTCTGCAAGCGGATTGTCCGGTGAGCCTGCGGATAGGCCGCAGTCGCATGTTGCTTGGCTTCATGCGTCTCATGGCAGGTACTTGTACAAAGGAGCTCAAGCCCCTGAGCTGCTGACACTCCATTGGCATCAGGTGCGAATTCACGGGCAGAACAGATTCTAGTCGCCTGGGAGTGTGCGGCACAAGACCTTGCTGATGCCACTTGCTGGTTGGACCAGCTTTAGTTCTTGCAACAAACTCCTCAGCTGCAATTCGGGTCAGCGAGGCGGCCGAGCAATTCGTGGACACGGCCATGCAAGGTTGATGGGCTGGCAATTGACGTTGCATAAATGCGCACTGACTCGTCAAGAACTTATGATTCCCATTTCTAGCTGGGGGGGTTTCAGGGGGCATCATCACTACCCAGTTGGTTGCTGGAAGATCTGGGTGAGACGGCGCCAACTGATTCTAAGGGTTGCGTATGAGGCTTTACTGCCGCCTGTGGAGACAAACCTTGGCCACGGCCTAAGAAGCGAAGCGGGACGCAGCGGGAGTGGGCATTTGGCCTCGCAGGTTCTTTGAGATGGATTTGACATCGGCCTTCGGCATGGCTTTCTGGGAGATCCATTCGGGCAGCGGGCAGCGCATGGCCCTCGGCCCTCGCTTTCTAAAACTTCAGGCCCTTTAGCTTCTGCCCTGGCGGCTCTATGACGAGGTGCACAATGGTCAGAAGTGGAGGCGGTTCTCAACAGCAAGTGTGCCTGGCAGAACCGGCATTCAGAACTTGTGTTGGAGTTGGTTTGTGCACACGATGTGAGGTACGAGCAGCTGATGGATCTCTGTCTGCTCGAGAAGGTCGGGCAGCCAAGCACTTGGAATTGTGTTTAGTGCACTCTCTGAGGCCATGTGGGACTCCGCAGGTGGTCTGATACCAGACCAGGAGTCGCCAACCCAGCACGGCCTTGTCCCTCCCGGAAGCAGACCACGTTTCTTTGAAACAGGCCTCTTCGCAATAAGTTGTACAAGGCCCGCGGGCACTCGTGTTCAGCACGAAACGACGCGGTCGTCGATAGCTGAACAGGCATTGAAGACCAGCCATGAGATTGCCTTCAAGGAAGCGACGGAAGCTCCAAGGCCCGTCATTTACACTCGGAGTCACTAGCATGGTTATGCAACTTTATGCTTTCATTCCTGGAGTCCAAGCCATTCCCAGCTATACTGCTCACGACTAAGGATGGGAGACCTCCAACGCGTCGAGCTCTTTACAAGGTGCCCCGTTGCCACATCGAGAAGTTGTAGTTTCTGCGCTGTTGTTGTCTTGCTTGTACCCTCGCTTTTCTGATTCGAGTCGGCCAATGGCCATTTGCCCTTTAATTGGAATGCTTCAAGAGAACGATCATCCTTTCCTTTGCTGGTCTCCACAAGTGGAAGCACCAACTGTTACACAGGATGGGCTCAGCTTGTCATTTTCACGACCTGGCAGGGCTTGGGTAGACAGCGCGATCAATAAATCCTACTCTGTGCTGGAGCAGGCGGAGGTTGGGACATGAAGCAGATTTGGTACAGTAGGGCGCTTGGGCTCGTTTGGGAAATAGGCGCAACTTGTTTTCGCTTCAGGGTTCAGAAACTGCATGCTTTGCGCATGATCTAGAAATATCTGGTTGCTGTTTCTCTTGCGGTTGAGGTGAGGGCTGGACAGTTCGGCTTAAACCGACACTCGTGAAACTTGTGCTTTGCTCTTCGCAGACAGCGTTGTGTAATGGCCCTGGCATCGCAGGGCAACCTCATGAATGCGGACAGTGTTGTTGCACTGGCCTGTTTGAAGCCCTCACGGGTCTCTCGGAAGACGTAGGGTGCATGGGGTTGGACTTGGCAGGTCCAGCTCTTCCAGGAGCTGCTGGCGCCTTTCGGAGAGGAGTGGGGCGATCTGCATGTAGCTTAGATCTGGTGCATTGTTGGGTAGCCAAAGGCTTCCACCGGGCGGGGCACATGAGGGGGTGTCTAAAAAGCACTGTTGACAGCACAGCTGAGAAGGAGCACCCATTTTCCTGCATTCCTGCCGCCGCTTCCCCAGAAAATCAAGGAAGGTGAACCGTTAACGGTCACGAAGCATGGCATCGTAGCGTCTTGGGTTTTGTCAAGGGGCCTGTAGGTTTTGAGAAGGATGCACCGGAAATGCACTTCGGTCCCAGCCGAGGTGCTGACTCAAAGTATTGGCCGTCCACCAAAGGATTGGGACTTTCTGCAAGAGACTGTCAGGCAGCTGCCACATTCAAGTTGTTATTGTTACTACGAAAGAACAGGCTCGGCTGCACAAGTTTCGGTTGCAGGCAATTTTTCCTGCTGTGGAACAACCCTGAAATCGGTGCTGATGCCGGCTACGGGCAGCGTCGCTGCCTTGGTCTTCCTGAATCTCAGGGCTTTGCCGACACACCGATCAGCGGTAAGTGTGCCACACATTTATGCTTAGGTTTTCCATGTCTGCCCTTTAGCATAGGGGTTCTCCATCCGCCTTTCCCTGTACATGTAGTCAGGTGGGGAGTCTGGCTGGGG